AGCCGGTAACCCGTGAACGTCTGGGGCGAGCGGGCACGGAGAGCACCTCCGTCTGCCCTCTCCGGGGGGAAGAACCGCTGCTTTGGGGCTCCGATCCCTCCTCACCGCTCAGTCTCAGCCTTAATACACTTGTTACCCCCATTAGCCCAAGGTCATAGTGTGCAGTAATTACCAGAGGTTGAATAAGGTGAAAGCGAGAAGGAGCCGAGCAGGGACGGGCTGTTCTAGGCTCCCTGAGCAGGAAATAAGAGCCGCAGTGAAGAGAGGAGGTGCTGCTGTCCCTGGAGCCGTGCTGAGAACAGGAGGAGCTCCCGGGTGCCTCCTCCTGGCCTAACGGGGTGTTTGTCCCCGTTAGAGGGACACGGCGTGCTCGGGTCCCTCACGCTGTTGAGGGTCACTTAAGCTGCTGTTTAGGACACTCAAAGGCAGGGTTCAGCTTGGAGGTTGTGTTCCTCTGGCCCTGTGTCCTGCAGGAGTCCATCTGCAGGGATGCACTTGCCCTGCAACCTAATTCCATGGTTTTATTCTCCAGAATATTCAAAATCAAAGTTTATTTAGCCTTCCTTCTTTTAATTGCTTTTTCATTTCGCAGCGTTTTGCCGCTCGCCTACACTTCAGATCACTGATGCACGTGTATTTTCTGAGCCACGTGGCATTGCTTTTGTCTGGTCATTCTATTGCACGATTGGGCTGCTAAGAGAGGTTCTCGTCTCTCGCTGCGAGCGCCTCGTGAGGCTCTGTGAAACCTGATGTCTGCAGGCCAGTTCTGCACAGGAATTGCTGGCTAGAGAAGGGCATTGGTTGGACCGTGTAAAAATAGCAGCGCGCTGAGGAGGGAGGGAGGCAGACGAGGGTCAGTGCTGGCTGGAGTGCGTCGCCAGGAGAGCGTCCGGAGCGTCGCCTTTGGGAATGGTTTTGCCTAGGACTTCAACTCTCCGTGCAGAGAATGTGGTGGTAATGGGTAGCACAGAGTTGTAGGGCTGTCCTTGCAGGCGGAGGTTGAGGTGTCACACAGGGAGCCCCCGGGTGTCACTGCGGCGGTTTGTGCCGCGCAGAGGGCGACGCTGTCACTGCAGGCACCGCTGCAGCCGCTCTGGATGGGGGGATACCCACGGCAGAGCGGCCGCGGGACGGGAGAGCCCCGGCTTGGCGCTCCGTGTCGGCGCAGCGGGAACGCCGTGCCCGTGGCCGCTTCCATGTCCGTAGTGCTGCCTGCGGGCTGTCACCGGCGGGAATGCGGCGTGTGGGCGCATCCGGGCCCGCGCGCGGCCGGCGTCTCACCCGTCGCCTTTCCCTGCAGTCGGACAATGCCCGGCCCGAGGGCACGTTCCAGGTGACGATGCTGCCCGGGGACGGCGTGGGCCCCGAGCTCCA